AATATGACTAGTTTGTAGCAATTTCAGTCAACTTCATCGAACGTGTTCCATGTCTAGAATAGCCAATTTTTATAACGAACTTAAAATTCATTTCGACGAGTCATAATTGTCGGCCCCATATTAACTCTTACGGCATTCACCAGCATGGCATGTGAAACCCGTGATGGCCGTATTGAAAAATCTTAGCACCAATCGGCCACTGGTTCAATCCTTTTGGGCTCCCCCAACCCGAGTCCTGGACGGGGATCAAAGCCGATTCGAATATCGATTTCGCGTGTCACGAGTTCCGCTTTAATCACACCAATTGGGCTAGGATTGAAACATCAAGCGAGAGCACTCCAGGATCATGCCGCTTAAATAATTTTGCGAACAAATCTGATGCAAGGGGTTAACAACGGTAGTTGGTGCGAAGTGTGGTGAGGTTAAGCATGCTTAACAAAGATAGAGGTTGGAAAAATTGTATTTGTGCCCACGGACTTAGCAAATAGGACCTATCCTTCGAGGAAAATGCCACTTGCACACTTACTGATACAAGCCTCAAAAGTTCACCTATTTTTTTAGAAGAATTATAGCTTCATTGCTAAAGCGAAACTACGAGAAATTACATTAATAGTCTAATGAACTAACATGAAATAAATGCCACTGTGTAGGTCACGCCTTTTTGCGAGAGCAGGTCGGCGTTTTGCTTTTGCCCTTTTAGAAACCGCACCCACCAGCCGGTGTAATTTGTGAAGTCATGGGAGTCAGTGGGAGGCTCAATCTAGGTGACCACGCAGTGGTGGACTAGCTGGGCCCTCAGCCATCTGGGGGTAGGGGGCAGGTGGTTGACCGTGCGGCTTGCAGGTTGTGTTCGCGACGGTAGGCAGTGCTATATTGCGCTGCATGTGGTCACGTGTCCTCGAAAATCATTTGTTTACAGGACATTAATTTGATTACGCAATTTGGTTTTCGTGCCCGAAGGTTGCCTATCCAGCACCAACAAGTCTACTGAGATTATCTCTATTGTTGTAAAATTATTATACAGACCGTTGATTTGCACACCAACTTCAAGAAATAACCACCAGGAGCCAAGGTGCTAAATCCTGTCTTCGTATTTGTCTTATGATTTGTCGGCATATTGAAGAGTGCCTTTCGAGAGGGGTCTCATCGTACTTGCCAAAATACATCGCTCTTGCCTTGTCACCTGTTTGTGGCACATGCGCGGAACATTGTTATTCCATGTAGAAGTCAGCGTTGGTTTGTTTTCTTGACCAACCGTACACCACTGTTTACAATTAAGCGAGCTAAACAGTGGTGAGGAATAACGCAGGACCAGACTGGATTAGTGCAGAAAATTAGACTGAGGAATGTTAGACTATGACATTGCAGTTGCATTAAACGTAAGCGACGAGCACCTCTACCGCATGTCATCTTACAGATGCCTCAAGGGATAATTCTTTGTAATCAGTGCCTTCAATGCAGAAACCTCGGCTGTGTTTTGAATGCGAGGCTTCTGGAAACATTTCACAACAGCTGTTGCAGAATTTTGTTTTGATAAGACAAATCGTTTGAAGCCCAACTTTACACCACCCAATGCCAAATTATCAGGGTTTGTGCCTACGGTATGGTAATCGAATTGATTGGCGGCTCTTTGATCAGGCGATACATTTAGGCGGCAGTTGCAAAACTTCGAAGGTTTTCTACCCAAATTTTATGACTCGCTTCGAGTAACTACCAAAATCACCTAAACTTTATATGAGCACATTAGACTCCTTAGACCGGTCCAGCAGAGGTTATTCTATTTTGATATTGCAATTTATAATTTTTGTGGTAACCAGGGAAAGAAAGATATGGTAGATTCTGGGGTTCATGCAACCAATTTATATTGTACTAGTGACCTCTAAATACTTAGTGCTAGCACTTCACACCATTTAGGGGTGATGGCTGCTGGGTTTTTTGTCACCCTCCCGCTCCCAGCATGTGTTAAAGTCGATTAGGTGATAATCCGCTCGTAGTTGAAGATTCCACTCACTTAAATATACCAATTTTTGCATTTTTAGAAGATCAGAATTTTAAGACGATGCAGGGAAATACTGGTACGTAAATAGAACTATCCCATGAATCCTCTGAAGTTTCTTAGCTGAAGGAATCATGAAGGGGCACAATGTAGTATTGGATGATCTGACGTCCGGAATGAAGACGTGGTTAGGTTCCGAAGTAAACCCTCGTCATTTGCCAACGCCATTTGGTAGGAATCAGGAAAGGAATTTAGTCCGGTTTGGGGGAAGCGGAAATGTAATTCTAGGTTTAATTATGCTTTTCCAACGGAATACTTAGATCCTGAATCAATATTTGAGTCACACGAAACCCCCTGATTCACGACGGCCTCCAGGCCCTCGCTCGATCGCGCCCGCATGCAGCCGCCTTAGAAGTCATTTTCATTTCCAGCTCAAGAAGGTAACTGAGGTGAAACCTTACCAGTAGAATTGTCATCGTATCAAATGGACAACAGCTTGCTCTGTGCACAGGACGACCTCTTTTGACACGACTGCCATCAGCACCACTAACACAAATTTGAAGAGTGGATAGTGCCTTTACAACGCCCCCTGAGAGCAGCTCCATTGGTACTTTTGAAAATCTAGGATGTACTAATGCAACTAAACAGAAATTAATTTCTTTTAAAAGATAATAACTTATTACTGTTTTGATTGTAATTTTTACTAAGAAAATTTCCAATTTTGTGGCAACGTCGCGTAGTCCTTCAGTTGAAATTAGCATTATGGTCTAATAAAGAAAAGAGCTCAGCTATTTGAATCAACTAACAACCAAGAAGTTCGGAATTAATGTTTGAGAAAACGTAAGTGACTAATAAAGTGAATTTAAATGCAGTGGCAACTTTATTATAGATGTATTTATAGCCATTCAGTTATTACTGTTAAATTCAATTCCTGGTAAAAGTGGTGAAATGCCAATTCTTAATTGCTATTGGTTAATAGGCCGAGGAGCGTGGGGGCAGAACTGGGGGAGTGGAGGGTAGTTACGGGCACATCCGCAGCTTAGTTACAGTCAGCCAATCCTGTGCTGCGGCCTTTTCTAGCCGCATGTTTCACAAAAGTACATTAAATTGCAATTTACTTTTTTGATCTCCAAGGTATACCTTGCCGATTGTGCGCACGCTCACATACAAATAGCCCGTAGTCTAGCGCATGTCAACCAGCAAATAATTATTTATGTGTCGTTCTGTGCTGACAAGCTCTAACGAAGCGGCATTATTGAAATACTCGTGTTACCGCCGTGCGTGCGAGCGTACGTGCGCATCAGTACGCTTGCATGTGCGCGGGTTAAGAGTTAATAAAATGACAAAACACGTTCTTAATTGCTTATTTCGGAAGAGACTCACCTAATAGGCAAGTCCAATAATTTTGCATTTCTTACCATTATTACCCCATGGTACCCTTTTTAAACAAAATTAGGAGCAGTGTACTCTTGCGAAATTGTCATATTAACATTTGAAAGTGAGACGTCTTTTTTCAAAGGCCTTAACTCACAATTGCCATGGGTAGCATTTGCATATGCAGTGTGTGGCGGGGAGTTACTGGAAATTATCTTTTATATCTCGACAGATTCGTGCATAAATTTTAACCTTTTCGATTAGTTGTGACGCTCTTTGGTTACAACCGATATGTATGCAAAATGATTGATCAGCCCAAACGTAAACTCAGAAATTTGTGGGTGGCCCCTTAAGACATGATAGTTCGCTTAAAATCGCAGACGATCAGATCAAATGAGGCGTGTAGTGCTGGCCGTATGCTACTGAACGCTGAGGTCCCAAAAGGGCATCGAGCAACCGGTTCGGTGGGTCGATCGATGAGCCCTTTGAGGACTGACACCCCGGTGATCGAGACGATTAAGTTCGGATTCTTTGATGCGTGAATAAATAATTAATTGTTTACTTTTGGGGTTTGATTGCAGGCCAGCAAATGTAAAATTGGTTTTGGTACCTTTAAATCCGCTCATCCTGGCTTAGCCGTTGAGAGATGCGAAATTACAGTTATCGTTGGCAATTTCAAAATTTAGAGTAGAATGACGCTCATTCGAATCACTGCTTACTTCCCTTTAAGAGAAAACGCCTAATTAGAAGTTTCTGGTATATATTATCAGTGTCGGTGTCCTGGTCTTGTAATCGCACAGCTAGCTTTCAGGTAGGCCCAGCACCACGATACATCGGATGACAACGTGACTACAAGATTCTGGATTCAGCACAAATGAATTGTCTCTGTGTAAATGAATACAATGCATGTTTGAATTAAATGGCGCTTGACATTCCTTTGGTTTTCTACTTTTTGGATCACAAATAAATCCTAATTAACTACCAATGAACGGAGTAGAATTTTTCACATAAAGCTAGAATTATTTACAATTTCTTTACGAAAATACCAAAGTTATCATGGTTGATTGTTAGTAGAATGGCCATGCTAATGAAATTAGGCCAAATTAAGGTGCTTTACCCTAATATTTACCAGCACCAACCATGCCGAGCGATTGTGGATATAGTTGTCGTGACGTTTTTACGCCAATAAATTTGGACCAATGTCTTTTGACCATTTACAATAAATTTTTGAGGTAGCAAGGTAAGATAGACTTCGAAGCGCGATGTAATTCTCTGAAAGAAAACTCTACATAAAACAAGTTGGAAGGATATCATCACAAGCCTTGATGGGGCATTTGTCAGTTTGTGCTGACATGCATCTAGCCTGCAGTCGGACCTCTTAATAATTATCGCGCCTTGTTGCTAATGCTGATTTAGATGCGTAAAACATCCAAGGAGTGATGATTTGACGGCGTCTGACATGAATTTTCTCACATTCTGCTGATTAACTTCATTCACCAATCACGAAAGGTGTCAGTCTTGTTGAACATCAATCTGAGTGATTGGAGATACTTTGGGAAAAAACCCCTTGTTTCCCCCTCCTTTTAATGATATATGAGAGGGTTTCGAACACATTTTATCGTCTTTTAGAATGAATATTACTGCGGACCTTGGTGATCAGATTCCTGTGCCCTCTTTTTTGGTTTCTGAAAATTCGCGAAATGAAGAAATGTTCCGGGGCCTTCTACAGTTGATTGGTACACAGAAACTTGATTTAAGTGTTCCCCGAACTCCTGAGAGCCTTTTTTTGTGGTTTGGAATGGAGAATTCACTGTACATACTAATCCAGAATTGGTTCACATGTCAGCTTCCTCAGATGGATGAAACTATGATAAAGGAATTTGTGGCCCTCGCTCTCGAACTCACCGCACATAGACCCGATGTCCATGGAAGTTTCTATGACCTACACAACTTACAGCAACGGGAAGCCTACGCTACCTGCCATAAATGCTCCTCTTCCCGACCTTTCTTGTTGCCTTCATCCATGGGCCTCCACAACAGTGTCCACCACAACTGTGACATACCCTTAACCTGCCCTGTCACAGCAGAAAAAATCGAGACCGCTGTATGGGAGATCTTCCTTGCACACAAGTCCCAATGTCAACCCTCACCAGCAAAACGAGGGCGCACTCGTTTAACAACAGATCAGTTGGCAATCTTGAGATCGAACTTCGACCTCGATGCCTCCCCCTCAGACGATACGGTGACCTCAATTTGCGCCAAAACGGGATTAAAAGAGAAGGTTGTAAAACACTGGTTCCGAAACACCCTTTTCAAGGAACGTCAGAGATCTAAGGAAAATCCGTCTAATTTTTCATTTTCCTCCACTGACGTAAACCCAGACGTGGAGGAGTGTGAGAAGTCAGGATGGGTAATAGAGGTTCAACAGACGGAGGCCTCAGCAAGGTCGACCACACGACCACCAACCAAGAGAATTCGAACTGCGATTTCGCAGAATCAGCAAGCCCTTCTTGCAGGCTACTTTCAAGTTGATCAGAACCCAAGTAGACGACAAATGGACGCAATATCAAGCAAAGTGGGACTCCCGAAACGTGTTGTGCAGGTAGGCTTATTCTCTCTTTCAAAGTGCTTTAAAGGTTTCCATTCGATTTGAGTCAGTTTAGTGACAAATAAGGAAAAAGCACTAAACCTATGTCACCCTACCATTAGAGGAGCCTCATGAATGTGAGTGGAAGTTTGTCTATGGAAAGGCCAATATTATCATAAATTCATGATCTCCATTTCTACAGGTGTGGTTCCAGAACGCTCGATCTCGAGAGCGCAAACTCGGACCGGTAACCTCTTCCTCGGCTTCCAGGTATCCATCTTGTCAGCAGCAGCAGCAGCAGATGAACCCAACTCTTGAGGCCCCTGTGGTTCCGCTTCCTTATATTGTTCCTCCTCGAGAAAGCTCAACCCAGCCACCTTCTTTGGGCCATTACGATTGTCACGTTTCGGGACCAAATGCCTCAAATGCGTTCTCTGAATCCTCACCCATATCATCCGATTTGCTAAAACAATTCATAATGCAACTTCTGCAAAACCAAATTCCTCCACTTGGTGCACCGCCACCACCATTGCCCTTCGAAGTTGACGAACTCGATTCGCCCCTGGATCTGACGACTGGTTCCTCTCGATCCAATGACCAGGAATCACCCCATTCTGAAAATCACAGCCCTGTGACTAGCAGCGTAGCAACTGAAGCGAGACCCGAAAATTTTTGTCGGCGCAACAGAACAAGCATCAGTTTGTCGCAGGCACGGTTCATGCAGTCGTTTTTCATGCATCACAAAACTCCCACAATTTGTGAATGCGAAAACATTGGTCGGGCCATTGGTCTCAGCCGAAGGGTCGTACAAGTGTGGTTCCAGAATCAGCGCGCAAAGGAAAAGAAAATTGCTCGGACGACCGCTGTCTGCGGTGAAGGCGTTGCCCACCAGCAGAGCCTCGAGTCCCTGCCCCTCGTTGAAGCCGTGAAGGGCAGTGAGTGCAAACTATGCAACTCGATGATCAGCTCGAGTGGTGCTGAAGAAGGCACTGCACTCATCGAGCATATTTTTTCGAAGACCCACATGGATCGGTTGCTGATGGAGATTTGTCAAATGGAAAGGTGGTCGTTGCCCACGGAAAAGAGGACACTCGGTTCATCGCAGGCGCAGCAGCAATAACTTAAACCTCAATAACCTTGTGCGTGCATTTGTTGCAGGCATGCCACTGTACTCACTCGTATTACTTGTGTTTTAACACACAAATCCTCAAGTTCCCAATTACTACGGTGTTGTATTTTTGAAGAAAACACTATTAAAAGTCGTAATCATACCGAAGTCTGAAGTGTCAAAATGATGAAACATCAAATATGCCATTATTACTACCCGGAAAAAGTACTCAAGAAATGTAAGAAGTCCTAAAGTTGGATCAAAGAGTCCAAAAATTTAATCAAATATAGTTTGTTTGAAAAAGTGAATGCCTCATATATGCAAGGATCGCTTACATTGGCACATAAATGGGATTTAATTGTGTCACACTGTTTCTAGAGTGACAGAAACGAAATCAATATGATTGAATGACGAAGTATCGTTCAGCATTTTTATTTGGGTCAATCGATATAAGTTTATAATGGAAGGAAGGTAAATGATTGGATGCCAGTCTCGAAGTGGAAATATTCAATATCATGCTTGTCATTTAAGAAGTAGATGGACCCGCAGTCGAGGCAAACCCTGACTGCTTTAAATGTCAAACCAAAAAGTTGTGCTGATATTTAACTTAGGCTTGGTTCAGGTTATGGGATCATACCAAGCAAACTGTGGTCCGATTGCGTGAAGAAAAAAGGCTCCGGTACAACAGGAGGCAACGAGGACGTGCTTCCTACTCGGGAGCTTATCAAGAGCAATGGATTTTTGCGACATAACTTGGATCGTTTTAGCCGTTATTTTTCATTTGCCAGTTTCAATTAATGCAAAAACTTGTCTTTTTAGATATAGCCTATTTTACGTTGGGGGTAGCCAATCGCTAGCTTGACACCTCTTTATAACGGCAACGTTTCGTCTTCGCAGCAAATTTGCCGAGTTTCTGAACAAAGTCCCCTTACCTACTTTCATTGCATGGCAATGTTATTTTATCAAAACCTTCCCATAAAGGAGCTGGAACTTAAACTCACCTTTGGATGAAAACCACAGGCGCTTGCAATAAACTCGTTTGGCCTAATAAAATGTGCGGAAAACTGGTTAAGTCAAGTGCATCGTTGGTCTTGAAATTCGGACTATATGAACAAAATGTTATGTTAATTTTTTTCACTAAAGGCATATAAGTGGACTATTTTCCCACGCTTCGTGTCTTTTACTGCGATAGTACGATGCTTCTTGGTTCCATTAGAGAAGCTTTTAAAAGTTAACCACACAATTTCACATCTCATATGTTATCAGGGCGCCACTAAAGAACAAATGTGTCAAAGAACCCACGATAAATACGTGCTTTAAAGTACTAGCATTGGGGTTGTGAAATTAGAGGCCAAAAGACTACCTGGTTTTGTGATTAAGAAGCCATGGTTCTAGTCAAGTGCCACGCCAAGGCACAGTTTCATATTCAGGTGATTAAGGCTCGTGCGTAAGACTGCGTCTGCCTAAAAGTCTAACACCTGAATTTTACAACGAGTCCGCCTGCAAAGGTAACAGGATTTGTGGAAGAGCAGCCGAGATCGAATTTTGGTGATGACTTAAATAAGCGTACAAATTTAGAAATTCCTCTTCAATAAAGCGCTGAAATCTGAACAATTTGGGGCAACGTGTATTTTCCTCTCACAAATAAAAATTCAATTCTCAGCTGATTTGAACTCCTTACTGGAGGATGAATAGTCTTTTTTTTGAGGTCTCATGAAACCGAATGACTATTCGATCCTAGAAATTACGATATCCGTATATGCTTGGTACATTACGTGTACCCATCTGTTAAGAATGTTTGGTAAAGCGATTTATCTACGTATGTTGTTGCTAATTGGCTCTAAAGATATAGACATTGCTGGTCGTGCATTTGACAAGTTTGTTAAAAAAAAACTAGGATATAGTACGACACTAAAACTCACAGGACAGTGAGAAAAGCCAATGTCTTAAGACCAAACTGAGCATTTCGGCCATGAGTATCAATCTCTGAGGTCGGAAACGAGCGAAGCACCAAAAATTGTAAGAAACCATTGGCAAACGAGATGCCAAGTCACAGTTAAAATGAGGACTTTTACGGATGCGTTATGAAAAAGTGCTTTGATTTAATTTATACTAGTGCAACTCTGAATTACCGTTAAGTGGGTGGGTTAAGACAGAACTTATTGTCGTGGTGTCTTAATCAATAAAACCCACCTCAAATTTTCGGCATACGTGCGACTCTACTGTGAGAAATTGTACTGCAGACGCCGAGTTATCCTTTTGAGAAAGTGTCACACGCTCGCAACTCTTCTCACCGCAGTCAAACAAGCAAAAATTAATTGAAATATTAGCGGCAACATGAATCAATCTTTGAAGGAGTCGGTATCCATATGTTGTTAATGCAATTCAATAAGCCACACGTCTTGGTTCAGGTGTCACAAACAATGCAGTTGTGTGCTAAAGAAATCGGGATAATTTTGACTGATTAAATAAATTTGAAAGTTCACATATCCTTGCAAGAAAATATATCCTCAGAAAAACCATATTCCCTCACAAGTGGTACCACCGAACAAGCGCAACCGTGAATCTGCAAGCCTACCAGTTCACTGCCGCTTTCGTTACTCTGTTAGTAATCATGAATCTAGCAAAGAGGAATTCAGGAAATAGCAGATTCACAATAAACTAAAATCACCGTGTCACATCCAAGGAGACAACTTTGATTAAACAACTTTAGGGGGAATGTTGAGTCCTAAATTAGTCAAACGGTTCATTTTGTAAGCATCACAGGTAGCTAACGGGTTAAAATCAAGTCAGACAGGGTGTACAGGTTAAAACTGAGATTTTCTCAAAATCACATTCTTCAAATAAACACATCTGGGCTTCCCATTCTTTGAATATTGTCGCTCCCTTTGGAGTTCAGTGGACTGCATGGGGATCAAAAAACAACCATGATTGTAGACTCTATTTAATTCACCCTGATACTTTATGAAAGGAGGAATAAGAATTGAATCACAAGTATGCGGGACTTCACCAGCACAAATTTCTGTTTTGCACTGATTTGGTGGAGAAGTAAAATTATCACCAGGCTGGGCAACTTCAAAACTTCCTTACAAGCCACTACATTAAGCTGATTTACCCAGAAAAATACCAAATTTTCTTTTACGAATAAATGCTTAAGCATAGTTTCTTGACCTTTAAAAAAACGATAGCAACAGATTTTTGTCAAGGCACTGAATTACTTGAAGCAAATGGGTGGCTTAAACTCGGTCCTTTCGGGGAACTGGAACAAAATCCTTCAAGTTCTAGGCAATTTTCGTAGAAAAAAATTAGCACTAAATGGGATAGTAAGTGACCGTATTGAGCTAGGGCATACAAATCAACAGTGAACATGGAACAAGTCTAAATGCTCTATCTGTGAGGTTATGAAGAGACTGGTAACCAAACAAAAAAAACTCGCTGGAATATCGATTTATCGTGTGCAATTGTATTATCATATTGGTTGATAAGAAAGTTTAAGGAAGAGTAAAATGTGCTGCTGTGAATCGTGCTTATTTAGGCCTGTTAATTGTCACTCTAGCCTCTGACACAATGTTCACCCCTTCACAGCGTGCTGCCAGCCATGAAGAATGACGCATGCCTAATTGTCCTGCATTCTCTCTACGTGTTAGCCCATCTATGACTCACCGTGTCACACATCTGTGCTATGAATACGTTCCAACGACATAAAGAAAACTTGGTTGATCTACGTAGTTGGCAGTTGAGTCGGCGTCCTCTCGGGTCTTCATTTTCTCGGGTGCTTTGATCGTCAAGTTAAGGTGTGCACTTGCGAAACCCGTTGCTATTGGCATTGAATGCAATAGCCGTCAAAGCTGATCGTTAGACTTCTACTGGGAATGGAGGAGATAGGAGGTCAGGAGAATTGGATAGAAAATTCAACCCCACGGACAAGAAGCATTTAGACCTCATTCCAGGAAACCAACAAACACCTTAAGTAATGCAGGAGTTTCCTTCTGGAATAAAAAAAGCTGTGTTTATGGTGGGATGGTGATGTTTTTTCAAAAAACGAAACAGTCCACAGAGAGCTCTGTGCTCAAAAATTTCGATGGTAATGGAAAAGTAACCTTCAGGCTATACGATGCCCTTTCACAATATGATAGCGCCGGCTCTTACATCAATATGTATGACAAATGCTACAATCCAAAATCGTAGTTGGGATGTCCTACCACATCCTTTCCATTCTCCAGACTTTGGTCCATTCATTTTTTATCTTTTACAGTTCTGATATGGGATTTTATGCCCAGACCCAGATTTTTTTGTAGAGATATCAGAGGATAGTAATTGTTATAAAGTGAGGCTTTTGGTCGTAGCCGAAGTAACGTGGGTGAAGGAATCGAGAGGTAGGATCGAGTTGAGGTAGGCGAGAGTAGAAGCCATAATAGGAACGGGTTTCCTAATCAGGATTCAAATGGATGCAGAGAAGAGCATAATTGTACCATCAAATTTTTCCCGAGGGCCTTGGAACAGCAGCTCAAACGCGTCCAATGGCGAGGTAGCTCCGACGTGATCACCCGGATCAGTATAGTCATTTTAGAATTTACATAGGCATTTAAGGATTATTGCCACAGCCAAATGGTTTTTGCTACCTAGTTATTTGAATTTTTCAATTGGCGACGTTTCTTACGCACCTAATCACCACCAAAATAATAGCTAAAATGTCCAGTGGCAGAGGTATTTCCATCGAAGGATCATAGTCATAAGGGAAAGTTTTAGAAACGACGCGCTTTCAATGTAGAAAATACGACCCTCAAAGAAGTGGTATGATGAGGTATTTTTGACTATCCAATAAGGACAGATTCTTCTTTTCGAAGTGATCCAACAATTCGTTTCGAAGAGTTCTTCCAGATTCTGCAATAGGATGCCTGTACCCCACTTCCTTGGACGATACTCTGTTCATGTGTACACAAAACCAAGTCCATCAACGCTGATTAGATTTTACCAAATTAGAACCGATTCCAAATCTAGTTAAGTTTAAA